TAATAGGGTCCTGCAAGAAGTTGGCCCACAAAGAGGCACCAATTTTCCGAGATCGCAGAGAATTCGGCTCAATAGGAGATGTCAACATCCCAGAGATCTCGAAAAATCCACCTTTTGCCCATGTATTACCATAACGTATGAAAACCTTTTACGTTTCTCAGCAACACAATGAAAGGATCCTACAAACTTTAAGGCCAATAATCTCTATGGCTATATTAGGAAACATACGCAACCTTCGAAGACCTGAAGATGAGAGCTTCCAGATATACAGCGCTAACAAATGCCCTAAGTAAATAGTCCCCCGTGCCGAACTTCCGGGAGTCGTTTCTCACGCCCACCACTTAACCACGGGATCTAAAACTATGGTATATGTTAGGTAATGACAAGATACATCATGTATTAAACTTTGAACCAAATCTGACGGTGGGACGTGAAGTTATTACCACTTGGGAAAAACACCCTTTAGACCGGAAGTGGACAATTTACGCAAAAATTGAGCGAGGCGATATTGATTTTATGGCGGCATTAGACACTGGCACCTAGCTCTGGAAAAGGGATTTCATGTAAGTAAACTCCCTCCGGCGACTCCTTCCGGCGTTAATAGCTTTTTCCCGTTAAAAAATGATAACGGACCTTAGAAATGGGATACCTTGGGAAGTATTAATGGGATATGGATGAAACTTCGTAGGTAGTACCACTTTAAGACTCGGAACCAAAAAAAGAATTTTTGACCCGGGTGACCCCATCGTGACCTATAATTGATTTTTGGGCGTCTAGGACCGGAAATGCCTAGAATAAAGTCCGAGGTTAACAGCGGAAAAGTGGTGTATTCCTCAGCCCCAAATTTTTGGGAATGAGAATTGGTCACCTTGCTAAAAATTGGTGGGAATTTATCTTTTGGGAAAGGAAGCAGAAGCTGAAGGGGATATAGATTTTACATTGTAACTTTGAAGTGATGAATTATTAGGAGTGGACTTGGCAAACATTGAGATATATTGCGCGCTATTAACGTATAAGCGGAGATTTAATCCGTCTTATAAATCGTTCCATTTGGTTGAAGAAAGCTTGCTTGCCATAATTTAATTGTTAATAGGAGCAAAATCTATCAGTTTGTACTTAATATGGCGAGTGGTGGATGAGTTTTACAAAAAAATCCCAGCCTTAAAAAATATATATTTCTTTTCATTTTTTCTACATTTAATTTTTTCATGTTATTACTGCTCCATACACCTCGAAAGGCAGTCGGAACAGTCAGGTCTTTGCCCTGATACGAGCGGTCTTGTTCTACTTTTGGTTCTTTTTTCAGTTCAAATCACAAATGATTTGCCTGAAGGAAGGCGAATTACGCAAGCAAAATACGAAAACGGACGCACTTTAAGTGATACATTAATCAACTAACTGAAATTGATTCACGGACATTTTAACAACTTTCTGTTGTTTTTTTCGAAGCTAAGAACGGTCTCTTTCTAGTTGACTGTGAGTTGGATTTTGACTTTCTAGTTAAGACTAGCTGTAGTCATTTGTGGTTCCGCAACTAATCGGGAAAACCTAATTACATCCTAATTCAGTTTCCGATTCAATTTCACTCGTCAATGAGGGAAAAAGTAATAGTTCAACTATTTTACACTATTATTAAACTGTGATTATTTGTAAAATCATTTCATTATAAGTGTCATTACAGAAGGCTGATCGAATGATAAAGTCAAGAGAAGCAAGCATGAAAACAGAAGTAAAAATGCACGAAATATCAGAAGCAAAAATACTGCGGGCATGTGATCTAACTAATTGAATATTTCGCACCGTGACGGAAGTCAAATGCGAAAATGTTACACAATGTGTTATGCAAAAAACTGAAGCACGATAAACCTACCAGTCATAGGCGTAAAGAAGGGTTTGGGTAAACTACTTTGTAAAAAATGAAAGTGCAAAAAATACGTAGTTCTCAATTTCAGTGCTTCAGGAAGCTTTGGTAACATTGGTTACAAGATGTTTCCAATAACAGTGACAGGAATAAAATAAACCACAAAATAAACCACATCAATTAGCCATTGTTGCAATAAACTTATTAAATGTTCGTGTTAGAGTGTACCAGTTTTTATCGGGCTTATGAATTTAGGCGACAAGCAAATAGAATATCAAAAAATAACGGAATTTCAGCAATAAATTGCCAGCAAATTGCGTGAAATTCGTTTACAGACTTCAATTAAATTTTAGCTGAGTGAAAATTGGTTGCCCAACAATAAATCAGGTTATTAATATCAGTTATATAATTACTGCATTTCAAAAAGGTAATTTACTGTTTCGCATGAATGTTTTATAATCAACTTATGATAACAATTTTGAACAATTCTGTGATCATATACTTTTTTTTGTGTAAATTCATTCTTAACAAAAATTTTTGATGACCCAGTTCTCATAGCCTAAATTCAATAAGAATTATCGTCTAACTTCCGTTTCGTTAGGTCGCCTTAAGTTCTTGTCTTATTTCCTACGCGCCACTAAGCTCTAGTGTTAATTTACTGTATTTATTTATAGTAGAGGAGACCTTTAAACAGATACCATAGGGGAGGGGGGAGTTTAAAGTAGATCCCAACACTTTCTTCAAAAAAAATTGTCCGTAGAGAGCCATGTTTACAGCCTGGGCACACTAAAAAAATTAAAAATTCCACGAAAATCCAATCACTTATATCCAGCCGCTAACTAGTTTTATATTCACATAGATCACTTGAACACAAGGTAAACACAATCAAGAAGCTCCTATTCCTGGATTTGAAGGCAATTTCAAGTACATGCTTCGTTCCAATAAATACAACTAAGAGCACTCTGCAGCTAAAGCTGATCCTGAAAAATGACAGAACTTAGCTTAATTGGAAAAACTTCTGGAATGGCTGATGGATGGCTGAACCGATGAATGGTTGATGTATCGATTGATGGCTGGTTGATTGCTATTGGATGGAACGATGGAGGGAGGTGTGGCTGGATGGCTGCATGAAAGGTTGAACGATGTATGGATGGATGGCTGGATGGATAAATAGATCCATCGATGGCTAGATTGTGGGATGGCGTATCAATGGCTAGATGGAACGATGGATGGCTGGACGGAAAGATGTATAATTGACTGAACTGATGGTTAGACTGAATTGATGGGTACATGATGGGTAAATGGATGGACCGATGGACTGCTGGAGGAGCGAATAGATGCCTAGTTGGATCAATGGATTACTGACTAGATGATTGTATGGCTCGATCGACAGATAGCTGGTTACATGAATGAAGGATGGGTACTTCGATGGATAGTGACCTGATGTATTGCTGGTAACATTGATATATAATAAAGCCTTGATTTATAGATGATTGGATTGATGTACGATGTATGGAAGGATGAATGGCTGCATGGCCAGATGGAAAGACGGGTGGCTGGGGGATATATGGATGGATTGCTGGTTGGATGAATGAATGGATGAAAGGATGATTTCTGGCTAGATAGATGAATTGCTTGACAGATGAGTGATTAGATGGCTGGATAAAAGAATGGAAGGTTAGATGGATGGCTAGATGAATTACTGGTGGGATCATGGACAGATTAATTGACGGTTGGAGAAACTGATATGAAGGGATATTGATTTGATTGATGGTTCGATGACCGGATGGAGGGATCGATGGTTGGATAAACAGCTGAATGGACGAATAGTTTGATTGATGGATGGCTTGATGGGTAGATGGCTGGATGAATGGGTGTCTGAGTACCTGAATGGATGGATGGCTAGATAGATAATGGAAGGATGGAAGATGTGCGGCTAAATGGATACATAGCTAGATGACTTTATGGATGGACGATGGATGACGTAATGTATGAGCGTTAGAGTGGTTAACTCTCTGAATGGCTGGCTAGAAGGATAGCTTGCTGGAGGGACGGATAGATCGCTAGATAGAAAGGCTGATCGGATTGCAGGACAACGGATAGCTTGGCGGATAGCTTGATGGATTGGTGGCTTGATAGATGATTGGCTTGAGAGATGGATGGCTTGATAGATACATAGCTGGCTCGACGGATGGCTGGATAATTGATTGGAAAAAATTGATTGAGAGATTGATGGTTGAGTGGCTCCATAGATTGCTGTTTGATAGATGAACAGACGATGGAAGGCTAGATAGATGGAAGAATGAAAGAACGGATGAATGATGGTTGGATAGATGGCTGAACGATTTGATGGATGGATTGCTGGTTGGATGGATAAACAGATTGATGAATAAAAGGTTATAGTTGGAAAAACGGAAAATTGGTTAGCGGGATGGATGGCTTGATATATTTTACGTTGGATAGATGAATGGATGGCTAGATAGACGGAGGCCCTGACTTTCGTTACTCTACCCTGCCTTGCATCTCCTTTCCCTGCCCGTCTGGCTTTAACCTGTCCTTCCCTGCGCTGCCCTACTCTGCTTTACCCCTCGTCGTCTTACCCTTCCTTGCGCTGCCCTACTCTGCATTGACCCTCCTCGCCCTGAAATGCTGTGCGCCCGGTCATGCGTCGCCTTGCGCATCCTTTCCCTGCCTAGCATTCCTTACCCTGGTCACCCTTACCTTGTGCTGCGCTGCCTTGCGTGGCGCAGTCCTACCCTACCTTGCCACTTCTCGCCCTGCCTACCTTCTCCTTCCTCGTCCTACCCTGCCTTACCTTTTCTCGCCCTGGCCTGCCCTGCCCTACCCAGGCTTTGCCCCTCTCCGTTGGGCTCTGCGCTGCCTTTTGCTCACCTACCTGGCCTTAACCTTCTCGCCCTGCCCAGCCTTGCTCTCCTTACCCTCCTTTGCTCTGCCCTACTTTGCGCTGCCCAGCTCAGGCCTTGCCCTCATCTCCTGGCTCTGCGGTGCCTTGCGCTGTCCTGTCTTGCATTGCAGTCCATACCCTGAATTACCCTTCCTCGCTCTGCCCTGCCTTTTGTTGCCCTACTCCGGCCTTGTCCCTACCCGCCCGGCTATGCGCTGCCTTGCGCTCCCTCACCTTGTCTTGCCTTTACTTGAACTGCCCTCGATTGTCCTTCTCCTTCGCGCACTACTCTGGCGTGCGCTGTCCCACCCTGCCTTGCCGCTCCTCGCCCTGCCTGGCCTTGCAATGAAATGTTTCTTAAGCAGTGTAATATACGATACAGCTCAAACTAGCAAAATTGCTTTCCTTTCTGGAAGCTTAAGCCTGAGACATATTGTTAGCTTAAACATGGGGAGATAGGTAATCGCAGTTAAATATATAATAAAACGATAGATTACATGTTAAAAACAAATTTTGTAGATATCTCACCAACACTAGTTTGAAAGAAATCAACGAGTTATTTGAATAAACTACACAGTAAACATATTTCTAAAAACTGACATTATATTCTATCTTCGCTAAAAAATCCGCAGCAGTTAGAAATAGTTCGACAGTTAGCTTTAAGAGCACTATTTAGATTTAGTGAAACAGTTCAAATTAGATTCTTACAAATGAGGCGAATATCTTAGACTTTTATTATCGATAACTCTATTAAATTGCAGTTTCATTCGACAAAACGGACCGTATCAGGGCTTGAATTTGGCCTGTATAGAATGGCAAACTACCGAATTCCGAAATTTTGTTCTTAAAATATTGAGAAAAAATGGCCAGGATTCGGACTTGAGAAAAATCAAAAGAAGTTGTCCAGAGAAAACTGGTTTGAATATTTTGTTTCTCTAACTAAATAAGAAAATAATTGAAGAAAGGCTTTAGGTCTAATTTCTGATAAGATTAATTCTGATATTATTTTAACGTTAATTTAACTATGATGAAGGTTTCTTTATAATTTCAATCTAATTCAATGGCCCTTTTTACTAATCATTTTCACCTAATTTGATGAACTTTTCTTTTTTTGAATTGCTTTTAAATCAGTTTGTTCGGAACATTCTGTGCTATATTTGTTAATTCCCAAAAGTTTATCTCAGTGTCAAGCAAACACGGTTTAAAATTTTGGCATATTAGGATAACTTTGAGCGAGGATGTTATGATGATTTAGGATGTTATGATAGCGCAAAGAAGAACACAAAAGCAACGTTTAAGCCGTGAGAACTAAGGTTTACTCCAGGTAAACTATTTTTAAAGCTTCATTTGGCGCTTCCTTGGGAATATAAATTTTGTCAATCACTTTACTTTTTGATTAAATTTTGAGGAAAAACGTAGTCGGTTATGCCTAATTAACTAATTTACTACGGTTTTTTTTCTTGGGACGACGCACAAAAAACGATACAAATATCAAAAAAGTTGATCCGAATTTTCTGTGCACAGCAAACAGCTATCCTTGATAAGTTAAGTATTTAGTCAGACCAGCTTGGACATTAGAGTTCCCGGCAGTTGAGAGCAAGCTACAAAATTTACCCCAAAGTTCTTTTTCATTTAGGACCAGCCGCAAGTGAGTCTAGTCTAAATCAAAACTCAATTTAAAAACAGTTTATTAAAAACAATGTATTGGTTGAACACGAATTTAGTTTTAAATCACAATTTCATATAAAGAACAATAGACTAAACTCCGAATTATTAATTTTCACAATCACGATTTACCATTTACTCTGTACTGCACACAAAATATCGACAAAGCCAACGAACATTTTTTAAAAACACAAAGAGGGCAATGAGACAACTTAATTCATGAAGATCATTAATTTGCAACACGAATACACAAGCATCTGGTTCAAAGTCTGGCATCAATGGCACTAAGGGTATAAAGTAAATTAACTCAATAAATGCTTCAAATGATACATTAAATTAACATAAAACAAGGATTGGCAGTCGAATTGGCGATTATTGATGACATGTTTTGAATTAAATTGAAACTTGAATTTCCGATTGTCTCAGCATTGGATTCGGAATTAGGTTCAATTGCGATAAGCACAAATATGAGGTGAGAGTCAGCCAGCCTGTAAAATACGGAACCAGTTGAAGTTGTTTTGGTCTTGTGGTTTGGAAATATAACCATCAGAGCAAAAACAAAAGTTAAAATCTTAAACCATCAGATTCCGTCAAAAGTGTTTCAACTACTTTCTTCAATTGATGTTCTAAAATTGGTTTCATTAAAAATGCTAAATTTTGGATTTGTTGGATTTTAAATTGATACTTTGAAAAACTCCTCGAAGGTTTAAAAACAAGAACAATAACGGTGCGAAGCTACGGTATCCTACGACACAGACAACAAAGGAGAAATCTACTACTTCTACATCTACCACTGCAACTTCTAAAAGATGCTTATCCATTTTTCATTTATTTGGTTACTTTAGCGAGCTAATCTAAAGCTTGATCCGAGCCTTTTGCTGGTCGTCTTCCAGCTTACTTCGCGTTTTGCAGAAACACATCGCGGCTTATACAGCTGGTTCTACCTAGCTCACCTTCGCTTTTGCTGGTCGTCTTCCAGCTTCCCTTGTTTCGCTGAAACACGCCACCGCTTTTATAGCTAGCCCCGCCTAGCAAGCCACTGCTTTTCGCTGGTCTTTTTCCAGCCCCCTTCGTGTTTGACCGAAACACTTTGCTAATTCAGAGCTAGCTATTTCTAGTTACCCTGCGTTCTCTCTGGTCATCATCCAGCTTGTTTCATTTTGAACTTTTCCCCACTAGTTCTCCCCCTCGTGTCTTTCGTAACACATTGGTGCTAGTAATCAATAGTAATTTCCTCTCGTGCCTTCTGCGGCACACCCGCTTCGTGTTGAATCAGTTCTCACTGGTTCTCGACTTCTAAACACTAGTGCTTTTTCCCGTGCCTTCCGGGGGACACTTCCTTCTGGTTGAACCCGTTTCCGCTGGTTATTCGCAGTGCCTCGCGAGACACAATGGCACTAGTAACGACTAGTCCTCCCTCTCGTGCCTTCCGCGGCACACTTGCTTCTGGTTGAACCAGTCTCCGCTGGTTCTTCTCCGTGTCTCTCGGGACACATTGGTACTAGTAATTACTAGTCCTCATCGTGCCTTCCGCGGCACACTAGCTTCTGGTTGAATCAGTCACCGCTGGTTCTTCTCTTTGTGTCTGTCGGAACACATTGGTACTAGTAGTCGCTAGTCCTCTCTCTCGTGGGAAACAAAAAGACTATTCATGAAGAAATATCTCTGCTTTGAATAAATTATATAATAGTTATCGTCCGCCCAATATAAAGTTTTCTTTAAGAAAACATTACGAGCAGCTTAACAGTATATATTCTGATAGTAAACTTTATGATTCTGCAGAGCTTTAAAGGAGGATATATTCGATATAACACGTCGTCGTATTACGATTTTTTGTAGATTAGTTTAATCGATCGTTATTTGGAGATTCACTTAGACAAAAAGAAAAAAAAAACAAACAAACTTATGCGCGTGTAAATATCCTTCAAGTAATCGATGGGGGTTGTCAGCAGCCACACTTGCACGTTAGATTACACAATTACACCTATTATCAAGCCGACCAAATTCAAACTAGATGTTCGCTCATTGTGTAGCCTGATCGAAATGTTGATCAGTTTGACAGAACTAAAAAAAAAAACACTTCCGAAAAAGTTTTCGTTGCGCTGCCATCACAACCCAAATTTCGCGAAAATATTTTCGTTGCGCTGCCATCACAACCCAATTTTTGCGAGTTCTGTGCGTGTTTCTCGATTGCCCGACTCTGCTCGGCACAGGGATTCCTCCTTGTCGGAGATGCAATTCCGTCGTTTGCAGAGATTGCAACTTTCTGTTAAAGAGAGTGTGTCCAGAGTGTCAAGACGAGAAGGGTCGACGCGAGAACTTCAACATGTGGTAAGGAACTAGGAGGCATCGATAATTTCCGAGAGTCAACCGATCTTTTTAACAACTCAAAACCACTAACATTCAAACCAGCCTTTTTAAAGGCTACCATTTATTTTTTTCGTTCAACTCACATACTTGAAACACTGAGCTTGCGCTTATTTCATTGGTAAACATTAACGACTCGTTCAGTGGTGCTAAAACTTGAACTCTGAAATGAACAACAACAACTGGTGTCCAATTGATATGATTTTAACTTGAAAACAAAATTTCGGTTATCTGAATTACCACCTGGACTTCAGATGGAACTATCAGAAAGAAAAATTTTTCCAAATTCCTATCTATGTGTATAGATTTATTTGAGATTATTTTCGTAGCAATTCACGGAGTCAATTTCTAAAATATTATTTGAGACAACTATTATCAGGCCGACCAAATTCAAATTAACTGTTCGCTCATTGTTTAGTCTGATCGAAATGTTGATTAGTTTCACAAGAACTCTTAGGACACTTTCGAAAAAACTTTCGTTGCGCTACCATCACAGCCCAAATTTCGCGAGTGTTGTTCGTGTTTCTTGATTGCCCGACTCTGCTAGGCGGAAGGATCCCTCTTCGTCGGAGATGCAATTGCTTTGTTTCCGGAGATTGCAATTATCTGTAAGAGGGGCTGTGTCTTGATTTCCGTGGCAAGAAGGGTTGACGCAAGAAATTCAACACGTGGTAAGGAAATAGGAGGCATCGATACCTTCCGAGAGTCAACCAATCTTTTTAACAACTCAAAACCACCAACATTCAAACCAGCCTTTTTAAAGGCAAAAATTTATTTTTTCGTTCAACTCACATACTTGAAACACCGAGCTTGCGATAATTGTATTGGTAAACATTAACGACTCATTCAGTGGTGCTAAAACTTTGATTCTGAAATGAACAACAACAACTGGTGTCCAATTGATATGATTTAAAATTGAAAATTTTTCGGTTATCCGAATTACCACCTGGACATCAGATGGAACTATCAGGAAGAAAAACTTGTTCAAAATCCTTTCTAGGTGTACAGATTCATTTGAGATTATTTTTGTAGCAATACACAGAGTCGATTTCTGAAATAAAGAAAGTTTGTTTGTAGTTTCTTAAATTGATTTTTTCTCATTTTTCCGCACAAGTACACTTTTCAAACGAAAAAAAAGCATTCACTCGAGAAAGACTGAGGACTTTGCAATTTTTAGGAAAAAAACGGCTCTACTTTCACTGCGAAGCAGTGAAAGCTGGTAGTTTTGCGTGAATAAAAACCTGTAGAAAAGTCATTATGATTTTTTTTTCAAAATGTCAAGGGTCTAAGTAAAAAAACATCGTCGTAAACGAGTTTCTGTAGATTATTTTAATCGGCCGTTACGGAGACTCCTTTGGACAAAATGGGGAAAAAAAGAACAAATAAAACTAATTCCCTTCTAGATCTTCTAGTAATCAACGGTTATAGTCAACAGCCACAATTGCACATGAGATCAAACAATTACAACTATTATCAGGCTGACCAAATTCAAATTAACTGTTCGCTCATTGTTTAGCTTGATCGAAATGTTGATTAGTTTCACGGGAAGTCTTAAAACACTTTCGAAAAAACTTTCGTTGCGCTACCATCACAGCCCAAATTTCGCGAGTGTTGTTCGTGTTTCTTGATTGCCCGACTCTGCTAGGCGGAAGGATCCCTCTTCGTCGGAGATGCAATTGCTTTGTTTCCGGAGATTGCAATTATCTGTAAGAGGGGCTGTGTCTTGATTTCCGTGGCAAGACGGGTTGACGCAAGAAATTCAACACGTGGCAAGGAAATAGGAGGCATCGATACCTTCCGAGAGTCAACCAATCTTTTTAACAACTCAAAACCACAAACATTCAAACCAGCCTTTTTAAAGGCTGCCATTTTTTTTCTCGTTCAACTCACATGCTTGAAACACTGAGCTTGCGATAATTCTATTGGTAAACCTTAACGACTCATTCAGTGGTGCTAAAACTTTGATTCTGAAATGAACAACAACAACTGGTGTCCAATTGATATGATTTAAACTTGAAAATTTTTCGGTTATCCGAATTATCACCTGGACATCAGATGGAACTATCAGAAAGAAAAACTTGTTCGTAGCAATAGAATTTTCGTAGCAATTCACAGAGTCGATTTCTAAAATAAAGAAAATTAGTTTGTAGTTTTTTAAATTAATATTTTCTCATTTTTCCGCACAAGTAGACTTAACCTGTGAATTGGCACAGTATTTTTCGAGTAGGGTCAAGAAACAACAAAAAAGGTCAAAGTTTCAACACACTCTCTTGTTTGAAGGCCAAATCTTATTTCTTAATTAAACTTGGCGTAGCAAACTAAAAAACTGACCTTTCAGCAACCTGTTGTGTCGAGTAAATCCTATGATAACAGATTTGGCAGTATAGTTATAGAGAAAAATCCAAAAAACGGCCAACAAATCAGAGAGTTAACAATTCCGAGAACTATAGCTTTTTAATTAAAAAAAAATTGGGCGTAACCACTTATGCAGAAGAGATTCACGCAGCCTGCTATTTCGATTGAACCCAAAAACTCAGTTTTGGCAGAAGCAGGGGCGGATCTAAGATCCTCTCGAGGGGGCTAATTTTCAAAAACTTCGACAATTTTGTCGACCTTTTTGATTTTTTGAGCTCTCCGAAATCACTCTAAAGACCCCATTATGACCAAAGTTTCTGCTCCGCAGACAAAATTTTGGAAAAATCAGGTCAAAAAAGGCATTTTTAGGCAACTTTTGGAAAAATTTGACAAAAAAATTGCGTTTTTTCGGCGCGCTCCCCCCTCAATATTAGTATATATTGGCACCTAAGGCGCCTTTAGAAAAAAATTAGGGTCGGTCACTAAAATAGATGTCTCAAAATATAACAAAGGGGGGACCCTTTGGCTCGGCAGGGGGTCGAACTCATGAGGAACTACTGTGCCCTAAATCCGCCCCTGGGCACAGTAGTTCTCGAGAAAAGTCAAGTTTCCGAGAGCCATAACATTTGTCAAAAAAATTGCCTGTAATCCCGTATGCAGAAGAGCTTCGCACTATGTGAATTGAAACCAAAATCTCAGACATGGGAGGGTATTTTTGGTGAAATTCAAAATAACTTAAAAAAACCGCTCAACAAAATCAAAAAATTGACTCTTCCGAGGACGATAACTTGTCTAGAAAAATGCGAGTGGCCGTAAATGCAGGGGAGCTTCTTACCTGTTATCTCCATTAAACGCATACAGGTTTGGGAGGTTAATTTTGGAGAAAAGCCGAAAAGATTCGAAAAACCGGCAAAAAAATCAAAACTTCTCTATTCCGAGGGCCATAATTTCATGTGTAAAAAAAGTTTGGGCGTAGCCACTCATAAATAGGCACTTTTTAAATCTGTTCTATTCAAATAATTCAAAAAATTAGATTTAGTAGGTTACTTTTGCGAAAACGAAAAGAAAAATAAAAAATATCCCCCCACAGACTTTTTCGAAGGCTGTAGAGAATAGGCTAAAAGAAAAGGAGACCACGGAAATAGCAGGCACACAAGGGTGTAGAAGATCTTGCTATGCATTTTCATAATACCCATACATTCCAATCCCATACATTTTCATAATACCTGTTTTTATCAAACAGTAATTCCAGGCAAACATGCCAAGCCAGACAATTGAAATTCAAATTAGCAACTGAACAAGACTTACCAAGCGGAAACAAAGCCGAAAATCTTTGAGCAGACACCAGCTGAGCCGAAAAAAAACTTGATTTTGTAAAAAAAAAACTTTTAAAAAAGTTGCAGGTCCCCTAGCATCATCAAAATCGCCTATATGGTACCCTAGCATCATCAAAACCGCCTATATGATCAGTACTAATTGAACTTGAACAGGTGATTCAATTCATTATGTTGTTAAACTAGTTAATAACCCGAAGAACGTCTACATTCCGATTTGATAATGCTTTCTAATCGCAAGCGTTATCCAATTTGATAAATTGACATGACAGGAAAAAAAATGTTTACAAAATTTGTTCAGAAAAAAAAAATCCATAGTTTGGAAATTAATTATGCAGACAAACGAAAACCTGGCAATTCAATTTTTCCAAATACTGGTGAAAGAAATAAGGTCCAACCATATCTAGACCAAGTTTTCAGGCGACACGCATCTTCTCCTTGCAATTTTTGCCTCACCTATTCCAATCTCTTAAAGTACATCCATCTTCCAGTCAGTTAGTTATTAAAATAGACAACGGTGATTTTGAAACCTTCACACAGTCGGTTGCGATGGAATATTACAGATTATTCACAAAACAAAAATTTAATAAAAAACCGAAAAACGTCATAAACAACCTGGAAGAAATTTAAAAACAGCAACCATAACCACTAACCACAACATCAATTTCTTTCTTCTTCAAAACTTTTTAAATAAAATACTTCTAAAAACAGTTACATAGTTAGACATACACAATTGCAAGCTACGTGGTGTGAGCAACATCACGAATAACAATAGCAATATGAGAGACGGGGAGGTGAACTTTACCTATAATCGAAAATTAACTGAATGATAAACATCTACAATCAAATCAAACGTGTAAGGAGGATTAGGGTGGTCTTCATTTGTAAGCATTAGCACTAAAATTACTAATAGATCATAAGGTATGCATATGTAAATAAAGGTAACAGTCCAGCATCTCAACTTCAGTTCACTTTAGGCATTCGCTTCTGCTTCCTTTTTCAGCTGGCTCATGTGAATTCCATTGGCTCCATTGCCGATTTTCTCATTCGACTCGCATTTATTGTCTCCGCAAATCACCAGACCACAAATCGATGGCACGAACAGCAACTCGTGAAGAGGTCCGATCACTCCGAAAACGAAGATGCAGTTTCGAATTGCGACGGCGACTAGTGAATACAAAGGCACGATGACCATGATTAGGAATGCGAACATGGCCACAGTAAAGATGACCAATGAGGGAATGGGACTAGGAGTGGGTGACCTGATGGATCCAGCTCCTGCCAAGATATACTTCAAGTTAATATGCACAGGGTAGAATGAATAGTCGACTGCGAATAAAAACATGAGAAAGTAGTACGTCATTGAGAAATTATTAATCGTAGTTCCTAGTACAAATTGGATGGCAAAGAATTCAAAGAAAAGCATGACGCCGTTCAAGAAAAGAACCAAGTGGGCAAATGGGTGAGGTAACGAAACGCAGGCACAGAAGAGTGCGAAAATAATGCACCCAACCACAGCTGCTGGGATTAGAAGCGAGCGTGAAATGACTTCACGGCTGCTTTCGTACATGACAAACAAGTTGGAGTAGAATTCGAAAGAGTCTGGAGGGAAATACTTCATCAGAGTTGGACTGGCAGTCGTCTTCAGTTTCTCCTGTGCCATTTCCAACTCGCGTACAAATTTGACCTCTTTGGCAGTGTGTGACAGGTATTTCTGCCTGATGAACATTCGTGTATAAGGATCCCCAGCCATTCGAGGCGCATATGGGGGTTCTAGATCATCGACATGAATTCTTGCCATGTCATTGTAAACCGCATGCAAAGGATTCATCAGAAATGTTCCGAGCTTGAACATTCTGCTAACAGCATCCTGATCATTGAGACTTTTTTCAGCTGTTTGTTCAACATTTATGACATAAGACTGGTAAAAACTAAGCATCCACTTATCCCAAGTGTTATTATTTCCGTCCCAGAAAGCAGGAAACAACTCGTTATTCATAATCTCAGTGTGTTCTATGCAGTAGGTGGATCCTGGATTACAGTTTTCATTTTCGGTATTATTATAATGGTACATGGCATTGTTGTTGAAAACCATTTGCACCAAAGGTCCCTGAGCAGGATAGTATTTCTTGAGAACCTCCAACATATAGAGAGCATTATCATCCGGCTTCACGATTTGAGTCCTATCATAACCGTAGTAATCTTCGTCAACATCTTCGGCAGAAAAAATGACCACACTGTAAATAAGACAAATTGCGAATAGCACAGCAAACATGGCACATATGACACCTTTCACCACAGCTGATGCTCTTATAACATTTCTCTCGTATATCCGTTTTATAGTGGCGATCGCTTTGTTGTCCAGCACTGGTTCTGAGGTGTCGGGGGGTCCTCTCCCCATGCAGCAGGGTCTGCCGTCCGAGGAACGAGATTTTATCACCAGGGAAACAACGCTCAGAAACATGAGCAGAAACGCAAGTGAACTAAGCAGGAAGAACACTCCTAAAACACCAGTTTTAATCTCTAACTTCATACCAGTTTTTTCAACTGTTTTCAGTACAAGCGTCCGGTACATCAATCTGTTGCGCGCTATTTTAGAAGACATGGCAAAATTTCATCTGCTCCTTTGCGGTTGCATCAAATGTATAATAAATTCAATTCAAAATTTGCACAAATGGGATCACTGAAAAAAAAAGTATTTAAGGTAGCCTTTTTTAGTAATAATATTTAAAAAAGAATTCAAAAAAGGTCTGTGAAGAAAAATACTGATTGATGTTTGTTGTTTTCCAGGCTAATCTGGGGTTTACTTTTTAAAAATAACATTTTAGGTTAAAAAAGAATGTTCCGAATTCTCTCATAGCCTCGAAACAATCCTGTATTAACAAAATTAGAAAAAAATGGCCCAAAATCATGTTTTCCAACTTTTTCTGAACTTTCCGCTTGTTTTTCATAGAGCCTTCACTCCTCAAACTCAGAGTATTCCGAATTTTTCTATCCGTTTAATCATATTCGAAGAACCTTGTATATGTGATGTTCTAAATATGCAAAGATTACAATCTGAATAACTAACCACAAAACATTCCACCTAAGCCATTATACAATCAATTCTGTTCCCTTAGTACAATCGTAACTTTTACGCCCAGCAGTTAAGCTGCTCTTCGCATTCACAGGCAAAACTCAAGATAAACTTGAACCCTTTAGTCAATAGTTATTTGAATAGAGCCCTGAATGCTCTGACTGCTCATTAACGTCTATGAATAAGTTTTCGAAATAAAACGAGACGATAACAAAATTACAAAATCAAAAAATAATGAACCACCGTCATGCATTAACTGAGTATCACCCATCCACACACACAAATACAATGCTGATATAAATTAGTCGACAAAAATTGTACAAAAGAGTTTCAAAATTTTTTTTTTTAAATTGGCGTTTAAATATAGTAAAAACGACCCTTTTGTCTATTTGACAAAAAAAAAACCAAAAATGATCCATTATGGGGTAAAATTTCGGACCTGAATTCCGCTAAACAAACTGCACCATATTAATTTTGCTAAAAATCTAAGCAAGTTTTGTCCTAAATTCGACCCAATTGGATATAAACGCGTTTTAATTTCAAGTTCAATGCGTTTTGTCCGGATAATTTAAATCAGCATTGTACGCCGCACACACACACACACACACACACACACACACACACACACACACACAAATACACAGGAGCTATGTAATCTAAACATTATAGTCCGGTAACGCATTCATAAGATCCACATAAGAAATTGATGGTATAGAAAACTTGGGATACAAAAACTGTTCGTAAAAAAATTGTTCGTAACAAAAACAATAGCTGAATTAAGATCCTCAGAATCGATTGTTCTTGAGCGGCTGTTTATTTAGATAGAAACAAAAAAAATTGCTAATTGGGTGGGAAAAAACTTTTTCCACTCCCTCTATCAAATTTTCTGTTTTTACTGTTTGTAAATTATGGTCATTATGGCTTAAGTTACGATGTAAGGTATGAAAAACAAATTTGTTCACAAGTGTTAGTATGTTTACCACGCCAAGTTTCAATGCATTGCAATGTTAAAGTAGTCTTACAAATTTGAGACCCGGAAAGACATAAACTCGATACATTACATCAGAACAATCACCCCATACGCTATGTACAGTACAGACACAGTTATACAATTCGCGTCTAAAACATATTGATAAGACGAAATAGTTAGCCTCATTTCAATTTGGATTGATTTCTGAGCCTGATCAACTTTGCGCTTACGCCTTTATAGAGAGATAAATCTCGCATTTTTTGTCTTTCACTGGTCGAATTGACAACGGCCAGGCCAGATCCCCATTATTTCATGTGCGAATTTTTCAAACATAAGCTGAGGGTATTAACGTTTCAGATTATATAAATAAGTCCCGTCAAAAATGGATTGTAGAATATTTGAAAGTTAAAATCCCGTTAAAAAGAAGTTTATCTGAAGAAAAACACCACGCCGCGCAAAAATATTTTTGAAACTGCTAACACAAAAGATAGCCAAAAACATCGAAGATTGGAAAAGAGTAATGAACTCAAATAAACAATAAAAGAGTACTGAATTAGTTGAAAAAATCTCAACTTTTGAATTCCAAAGGAAAAAATAGACGCCCCATTAGATCTCTGTAATTTAAGAATCATTAAAATTTTTACTCCGCGCTGGAAATTTAAAAATTAAATTCACTTTCGAAACAAGAAATCGTTCACGTTTTTTTGCGCCATTTCCACGTTCATACTTTGAGAGTGCTGTTTCGTCACTTTCAGCAGATGAATTTCAATTTAACTCAAAAGGTGCATATATACCTAAGTGCATTCATAAATGCATCAATATGTATGAATGCACATCTGTAGTTTTTAGAGACTTTTATGCACATTTTAATCAGCAAGACTTAAATAAGAGTCTTCGCTACGTTCATTACTCTTAATACCAATATCATTAGATATAGCCAACGCGTCCAGACAATTCAGCCCAAGACATTTCAACCGATATGAATTTCAGACAATTCATTCAAAAGTATACAGACATTTATCCAGAGACAATTCAGCCAATAAGAGCGACCGCTGCAGTCAGGCAAACGTGCTGCGAGCTTGTTAACATAGGATAGGACTCTATAGGTAGCGCGCCCACCGGTGACCTTAAAACGAGAATTAAATCCAATTCCATTTTTGTTCTTTCGAATCTAGCCTAATGAAAAACTGGCTGAACTGTCTGAGACTGAATTGTCTGTTTTTTTCCGGCTGAATTTTCAAGTTAGCTAAAATGTCTTTGGCCGAATTTTTTGTGAGCCATAGCCAATAAACAGTTTGAACGGATTCAATTAAAGCAAGGAAACAGAAAAAATTAATGACTTGTTTTTTTTTGAAAAATCAAATTTCGAATTTCAAAGAAAAATTTTTTGCCTAAAGAACTCTTTAAATTTCAAGGACAAACTAAGATAGGCACTTTGTATAAAAAAATGATTTAAAAAATCGAGAAAACTGGATCAATAAGTAAGTCGATCAAAATTTTTTCTAACCTTCAAACTTTTGCTGTTCGATAGTGGAGTTTGCACTACTTTTAACAAAAGAAATGAACTGAACTCAAAAAGTAATCAGAAATCAAAAGTAAATTTGAGGGTGAACAAGTTTTAATTTTCCTGAAAAAAAACCATCACAACTTATATAAGTTTTCTCTACATTTATAGACTCATTGAAACACGTTAAAAATTTTTGCTCTCCTTTCCTTTTAACTTTTCACGACTCCATTCTTAATTATATCAATAAATAGAGAAACATTTTAAATCTCACCGAAGAATCCGGCGGTGAACCATATGATTTTGTACATGGAGCTGCAGATGAGGAAGGAGGTGAGGGAGAGCACGATGAAGTTGGAGATTGATACGAAGAGCCAGTGGCCACAGAGCCATGCAAAAGAGAATTCCTCATCCCCCTTCTCACCGACCGTGGAGAGGTAGTCTTTCAGGGACTCCACCATGTGCAGAGTCAGACGCAGGAAGATCCCTGAAAACAAAAACATATATTTACCAAAAAAAAAACTAGACACTTCGTAATTAGTTGAACGTTTAAACACGCAAATATAGATATTGATATCTTGCTAATTGAATATTGAACTCATAACAATTCAAGCTTTCTGAGACATTTTACTGTTTTCAGAGAACATTTTCTGATTTTCCTAGTTTGATAATTAATCAGTCAGAGTAATCTAGGCCAGAGCTAGAATCTTTGCGAAATTGCGAATAACCGAAATTTTTCACTCTGAACAAACCTGTTTCCGGATTTCTACCATAATCAACTACCCAAAACTACTTTAAAGGTTGGCGCCAAAAAAGCTTTTAGAAATCTTTTAGGGGGTCAGAATCTCGTTAAGCAGTAAGTGTTAGGAAAGGAGGACCGTTTAGATCGTGAGTAAGTGAAATTACCTAAGGAGTAGACTCGTCCTTTTAATGTCACAAAATCTAGATATAGCTCAGCCTACAATATCAAATGCTTTAACGTTATTAATTTATTCAATACCTTTGAACTTGAAGGTACTTACAGGCTAAGAAAATAATCGTGACTAGGAATGAGTAGACAAACTCAAACCCTAGCATGCTTCCAACGCCCACGGTTCCAATCAAAGTGACAAAAAACAAACCAACTCCGGTCAGCGCCATCATTGCAAAGTTATCCGCGCCACAGGGCTTCAAAATCATCACGACAGGGAGCACCAAACTGAGAAGAAGCGCCAAAACAATCCACTTCATGTCATCTGTGATGGCTACTTTGGCACCATCTGAGAGTGATAGACTGTGGTAGCACATGAACTTCCAATACGTATCGTTTTCGGACCTGCCTTTGTTAACTTCCTCTTCAAACTCCAGACACTTAGCCTCCACTTCGAGAATCCATTTGTGACTCATTTCACTTTCTTCTGGTGTGTCGTATCGAAGATGCCAAGCGTAGCGTAAAGCTTCTATATCTTCGCTGTGGTCTCCCACGTATTGACAAGAGATATCAACCTTGGTACGAGATTTCTGCAATTTAGTTTTACACCCTACGCTTTCGAAAAACTCCGGTTTGCTCGAGCCCAAAATCTCAGCAGTTGAGACAACTATTGTATCGAGTCCCAGGATAGTCTAAACATGGAATCAACTCTAACCACAAACTGACAAACATGAAAAAATACCAATGAACTCAACGAAACCAAAAAATGAATAACTTTTTTCAAGCACTTTTCAACTTCGAGCATTTTCCAATCATTTCAATTTAAAAAAAATACATCACATTAAAGCTCTACGAACTAAAAGACACTGTTTTTAAATAAAACTAATTAATTTTGGGTCAAAGGTTTTTTTCATTCTGCTATGAAATCTGCAATTAAATTACAAGTTCAAAACAAAAAATACCATTTTTTGCTATCTTTGAGCTAGCGTTATTCGAGAGCTTAATTCACCGTAGCCACAAAACTAGATGTTAAGAAACTACTAAATTATTGCTTTTGGATATTTGATGTATGGCGCTTTACACTTTTTTAAATGATGCACATAAAAAGTTTATAAATGTGTCATCGAAATCCTGAAACAAAAAACTTTACTTCAAAAATGCAACTAGTTCCAAACACAGTCAACAAACAGTTCAAATGTTCAAATATTTTCGGGTAAAAAATGCATGATTTATAAATTTTTCAGTCATGATTGAAGCTGCGATGAACAATTCGAAAGAAATTTCTGAGTCTCAAATAATCTGCCAGAATGTTTTTATTGCTTTTCAGGCTAATTCACAAGATTCGTTCGAATAACTTTTATCTTCTTCACCGCAGATATTATGTAATCGCGCAACTGTGCGAACAAAAAATGAACTAACCGACTATAATGGTTTTAATTGAGTATCTGATTAACTTGAAAACTATTAGATTGGTCTCGCGCTAACCTTTTGAGAAGGAAAAGTGAGACGATAAGGTTTGGGACCAGACCCTTGCTCTTTCATTAAAATTTGATACAGGGAATTTGAGTTATCCCCTCTGTAATCCGGCTTGAAAACTTCCGACATATTCATCCGGTAGCACTGATCATAATTAAGAGCGTAATGTTTAGCACACAATTCTGGAAACGTCTTGTTGTCCTCGGAGACAAAATCTTCAACAAGGCTGAAAAATTTGTTCATAGTGTCCAGTCCCTGGAGTTTGGGGTCATCTAGATTGCCACCGATTGGTTGACCGACCCCATTTCTGGGGTACATTACTACGCTGAAGTACATGCCTAAGCCAGACATGATCCATTGTGGTTGGTAGTTGCTCGTACTGTTTTCGTAGAATACGTTTTTGTATTTCTCATACCTAAAAAGTGTTGAATTTCTAGTAAGACTTCAATTAACCTCTACTCAATTTCTGTGCAATTAAAACTATGTGACTTGCGACACAGGTATCTTTTTACGATACGCATCACAAGACCCTAGCTGTTTGGTTGATCATACTCAAGATTTTTTTAGACGAATCGGCGTTTTTTGGGACTTAAGGTTTGCTGGGCTAATATTCTAAGCAAAAAAATGCGTAAGCTTTTTAAGGGGTCAGAACCTGTGAACTGCTAATGTCGATAATTTTTTAACAGCTAGCATATACGCCAATCAAACCAAAATTAACGATTTTTAGAACTAAGTTCACCTTTGATAATATACTGAGTCGACTGGCGCCATCACTTCATTCGCATCTTCATTCATCTTGAAACTGGTCACTATCCCTAGCACACCCACGAGTAGAAACAGTACGATTGTTATCACTAGAATCCACAGTGCCATTGGGTCCATTTTTTCGGCCAGTTTGGCACACATGCAATGTTGTGCCTTGATGGCACTGCGATACCTGCTTCCCAATGACATAACTTAATCTGAAATTGAATAACAGATTAGTTAGCTATAGAGATAATTGTTTGAAAGTTGCAACCAAATGATGACAGTTAATTGGGTAACTTCAAGTGAGAGGGCTCCCAAAATATCATATTAATTTGGGTTTCGTAAAAATAGAGGGCTCCCAACAAACAGAGGCTCGAAAACAGAAAATGGGACGCCAAAAAATAGATATGTTGCTGAAAAAACCATCAATAGGTTTCGATAAGAGTTTGAAAAGAAAAGGTTGGCGATTTTAGATTCTTGTGAAGCAGACAATTCAGTTAAAATAAATGGTCGTACGAAAACTCTACTAAGTTTAAATTGAGACAAATCAGTCAACTTTGATTACCGAGAAATTGATTCGAGATAGCTTGAGGTATGTTTTAAAATCATTCCTAATGAAAAACGTTTTAAAGCAACACGATTGAAAAAGTATGAATACTTGCTGGTAACAATAGCTACGAGATAGCATCAAGATACTTATCTTAAGCCATGCAACTGCGTGACATGGGAACACATCGAGAGAGAATGAATGATGTCAAAAGTTGGAAGAAAAATGTACTTTCGTTGTATGATAAACGAGAGATAAATTTTCATATTAGACAAAACTCTAGAAAATCCATTGATACGAGGAACGCGAAAAATTAAATAAGACAAACTCAGTTGAAGCTTATTGGATTCGCGGTACTTTGGAACTACTGATTGATTGACCAAATTCAGAGTAAACTTGTCTCACACGCCCGATTCGTCTTATTTGTGTTTCAAACTATACTTTTGACATTACTGGCGCCAGTCAGTTTATCTAATATTGAAGGCTTTGGATGTCTTACAAACTTGAGTGTACACACTAATGCAGTGCCAGTCAAATATATCATACTTTACTTATCTAGGTTTTTAAAATCTCATAAAAACCCATAAAATAGCAAATCCAAATAAACAATCGCAATCTATTCGATAGAAAATTAAATGAAAGTCATTAAATCGGGGAAAACACTTTTAAAATCAAATAGATCACATCAACAAACGTTTCCAAGTTTTTGTCTGAAGTGAACTTCAACTTCAGAGCACGTCCAACAACAGAACCGCAGGCATGAAAGCAGCATTCAAAAACATTGATCGAGCAGCAAGTAAGCCGACAGCACAAGCCGACATAAAATGATGAAAATCTTACTTCACTGACCCGTTAAAATATAACCCAAAACCATTAAGGCCGAATAAAAGTTTTCAGCGAAAAAAAAAGAATAACATAGACAACAGACAGTTGGAAAAGAGTCAATGAAGGCAACTAAAGAGAAAAAACTGATTTTCAAATTTCCCAGAAAAAATAGATGGCCTTCATGCTATTTGAATTTCTAGATCAATTGATGATCGACACTTTTTTCATTTAAAAAAAACAATATGAGAAAACTGGACCAATAGGTAAATTGTTTGTTTCGCTAAGAAATCTGACAATTAAATTCAACTTTCGAAATTAGAAGTTGATAACGTTTTTTGGAACCTTTACATGTTCGCTGTTCGATAGCGTAGTTTGTCTTCTTTTTAACATAGGAAATGGACTGAACTTTAAAAAATCAAAGACAAACGGTGAAAAGTCTTTTTGATCCTGAACAAATTTTGGGACTTTTCCTGAAAAAAATCATCGCGACCATTTTAGAATCTAAAAAAAGAAACAATTAGAATCTCAAAAAGATACAATACCAGGTCAAAATGATTAAATTTACAAATTAGATCCAAGAACCAAGAGCGCTTTCAATTACAATAAAAATAGCTTAAGCTCAAAAAACGTAGGAAATGTAGCAACTAAGCCAAGAAATTATAAGTGGTGGATAATTTGTTTGGAGAATTGTTTGATTTAGGGTTTTTTTTAAGAAAAACAGAGCTTGTCCGAATTTGAGCCCAGGCCCTAAGCCGTCTTTAAGTTTTGGTAACAACTAGTTAAATTTGAATTTTCAAAAAAATGAGCATGTCAGCTGCAGATGAATGCTGCACAAATGATAGCTGTATTAGTCTCTGATTTCGTGAAATTAGTTAAAAACCTAAGAAGTCTATTTCTAACCGATTTCTAAAATAAATTCCTCTCGATTTGTGATAATACTCAATAACAATTCTTGATAAGAAAAAATCAGCGAAAGACTTCTTAAAACTCTTCATCAAGATTTTGACGACGGATGGTTTTTTCACACCGAAGCCTAGATACCTCTTGGAACTACGACAAATTCGCAAAAAAAAACAAGCATTATTAAAATTAATGCTATTAGAACACTGTGGAAGTCAGGGTTTCAAAAAAACTTGTGCGGAATGGTGGTAAGATCTACGCGTTTTCAGTAACGGCATTGCCTTGAAACTCAAGCAATTGGGCTTTTTTGGAAACAGTCACCAGGAAAGCTTGCCCTAAATTCATAAACAACTCTAATTTTTGCCTTCCGGTAGTTCCACGCCCGAGATCAAGTTCCTCCCCATTTTCAATCGTCAGAACAAAAATTTATTTTCGATAGAAAAGGATATGTAGTCTTTTTCAATGTGAACAATCGAACCTGACTAATTCTGCAATCAGCATTTCCATCATTTTTAATCATAATCAATTTAAGGTTCATCATTGTAAAGTTTTCAATTAAACGGAACCAACATTGCTGCAATTGACATTAACATTTGTCACAATGAAACCCCAAATATCGACCCCTTCCTAGTTAAATTTCATATTTAGTCAATTGATTCATCTCTCACTATAAATACCAAAAGTAATTCCCTTTGATTCATTCAATCTTTGGTGCTCCTAGTAATTGAATATCAATTCCTTCTAAATTTCATTTGAAACTTCAAGTGCATTTTCTTTACCTTTCGCATCAAGTTGCAAAAAATGAAGCCGTAAACTACGTTAATTAGACCGTTACAGAAGTTCGCAAGCAAAATCATCTTTGTCAAAAAATAAATTGAGTACAATGGTTTTTTGCTAAAGGGTTGCGATAAAAAAATCTACATCTGTAGTGAAATGATGTAATTTTCACAAAAATTGGCTATCCATTTTTTGCAACTTTTTTCGTTTCACAATTTACTCACGATATGTCATTTGAAGAGCAGTCATCTCACCAATCTAGTTCACAGCAGATGATGTTGCCGGATGCAGAGATGTCTGGCACCAGCAGCGAGGTGGTCCCAGGTATGTTCTACAGACACCAGAGTGCATACAAGACTGAGAAGGCGGACGCCATGGGTAGAAACTCACGAGTTGAGGCTGTGAGTACCACTTCTTTGAATGATATTTCACAAAAACGCATATATATGCTTTTTTTATTAAATGCAAGCTACTTTTGAGCTTTGCAGAGACCTTAGCTTCAAAAACGATTTCAACTAGACAAAAATCCCTGTTCTTTGAATATGAAAAAAAAAATAATGTAATGTGCAGTTGAAAATTACAACCAAAAAAAGCAGCCTTCTAGACCTGCACCAGAAACTTTTTCATGCAATTTTTAGCCTATTTTATCTAAAACTCGAATGAACAAGAAACGAAACATGTTAACTAATTCCTTATATGCTAGCGGTCTGACAACGTCATTTTACGTTTTTGTTCTGATAATTGTTGAACGAATAATTGTTTTAAATCAGTAACTACTTTTTTAGACTCGCTTTGAGAAGCGCGACGAGGCTGGTCGACAGCTGGAAACTGTAAGTATACAATTTTATTTCACTCACGAAATGTAAATTTCATTTGAATTGGTTCAAAAATATTAATTTTTAGACTCACCGAGAATTCGTCGCAGCAGAAAAATAAATTATCAAAGTTTTAAATTTAACCAAATTGCTTAATTGAATTTAAATAACTCCTGAGTAAAATTCTTTAATTTGAGAAAGATAATGTCTGAGTGATAAATAGAAAACTGGGAAAAGGATTATAATAAGACCGTCACATGGTAGAAGGAGTTTATATTAGTTTGAAACATTCGATCGAAGTTCTCTTTTCTTATAAATCGAGGCTTTATAGCGTCCTTTCATGATCAAACTTGGCATTTGAAACCAACCCTACATTCAAAACAGGCAATCAGTATCCTGGTATTAAGACCAAAAATCGAACCTCGAAATAAAACTTACCATATCAGCACGTCTTAAGCTCGGAACAGTAACGGCTCATTGAGCAAACAGCGACATCAAAACCAATTGATCACCTGCGGCCAAATGGCTGTTAAAAGATCTATATACCGTTGTGGTCTACATCAAACGCCCCCAACATGTGCCCGCAATCTAGATTAGATGCAGTTTACTCGCCGATAAAAGTGACCATTTCAGTCTGTTTCCCCCCGAGTCAAAGCAGGTTAATTAGTTCAAAATTAGACCGTTTATCAGTGATATACAGCCTCGTAATTGTTCAAAAACGAACAGAATCTTTCAGTCAAATATTTCAACATGCCAGAAGATAAAAGTTTCACCATTCCAAAACTATGACCTCCACAAATACAACTTGAATAAAAAGGTCAATGTCACGTGTTTACTGCGTACTCGCAACCCTGTTTGGTTAGCAATCTTCCAAGCTCATATTTGGTAAGGATACAACGAATTCTTTTAAGGCGCATGCATATACTACTATTATAGATAGCGTGCGCACGGCAAATAAACGAAAGGTATCATCATCTTGAAACTCTCCAAAGCTCTCATTATCTGAACTGAACAAAGTCACAACCACGAAACTACTTCAAATGATACTAGCAGAAAATGCCTCAGAACTCAATATAAAATAAGATATAAATACAAACAGAGGCGAAATAGATCTTCGCATCACTTGCGATACAAAAAAAACAAAGTACAACTTAGAGATACTTGAACATACATCCAGATAAAATGGAAAATCAATCAAAAATTGCACAAAAAAACATGTTCAACACTCTTCATTTTCAAGTTTGACAAAGTTCACCTTCAAGTTTTTCAGCGTTCAAAAATTTTTTTAGCGTTCAACCCTCTGTAATGAAAAATCAAATAAGCGAAAAAAACGAAACTAACCCGACAAA